CGCCGCGCCCTGCGCACGACACCCGCGCTCTGCTTTACGGCTCTCGCGGAGCCACTTCTCGAGGGAGGCGCCACGGAGGCAGGAGGGAGCGTCTCTTCCCCAGGACCCCTCCAGCGCCACCTGCCGGCTGGAGGGTGACACTTCCCCAGTGTCTCCTGCAGGGCGGACATCGCTGGGGCAGAGCTCTGCACAGACGCACACGTGCTTTGCCCAGCTGCAGTGCGGATCCCCCCGCCCTTGCGGGGCGCTCCCTGGGGCCTCCTGCAGGCCAGAGGGGGGCGGGGCCCTACTGCCCCTGAAGCGGCTGAACCCTCCCCTCCGCAGTCCCCTGTGTCTTTGAGGGGCGTCACATTCCCCCCATCACTCACTGGCCAGCGCCATGTGACAGGCAAACGCTCTGGCTGCGTCTAGACTGGCTTAATTTTGCGGAAATACTTTTAACGGAAAAGTTTTTCCGTTAAAAGTATTTCCGCAAAAGAGCATCTAGATTGGCACAGGTGCTTTTGCCCAGTAGAGACGCGTTTTTGCGCAAGAAAGCTCCTATCGCTATTTTAGCCATCGGGCTTTCTTGTGCAAAAAATTAAGGTGCCTGTCTACACTGGCCCTCTTGCGCAAGTATTTTTGCACAAGAGGGCATATCCCTGAGCGGGAGCATCAAAGTATTTGCGCAAGAAGCACTGAATTCTTACATTAGAACGTGAGTGTTCTTGCACAAATTCAAGCAGCCAGTGTAGACAGCTGGCAAGTTTTTGCGCAAAAGCACCTGCTTTTGCGCAAAATCTTGCCAGTCTAGATGCACCCTCTGTGTGTGGCCTGGGGCACTCACCAGTGCGTGGGCTCCCCCCCCCCATGCCAAGTCCCTTCTGATTCACACTTACCCCCATGACCGGTGCCACGTCGGCCCGACACGCCTCTGGCCCTCTGCTTTTAAAAGTCTGAGCTAAGCCAGGAATGGCAAACCCTGGGTCCCATCTGGGTGTGGAAATGGTACAGAGGGTCATGAATGTGGATGTTACTGAGGGGGGAAGGGAGTCTTGTGGGGCGTGACATGGGTGGGGGTGTCCATGGGGCAGTGCTGGGGAAGCAGCTAAGCAACGAGGATCAGTCTGGGTAAGGCTGAAGAGCTCTTACCTGAGCACTGGGGGAACTGAGGTTGTGGAAAGCTGGGTTGGCTCCTCTCAGGAAAGCTGACTTGACCTTGCTCCCTGGCAGGAGCTTGGGGGCTAGACTGAAGAGTTGCCTGTGGCCCATGGGCCATCGTTTACCCCCCCTCTGAGCTAAGCTCTCTAGGACACAGACTAAAGGCTTCTGTTCAGTGCACTGAACGGGGGCAGGTATCCAGCAGTCAGAACAACAAAAGCTGGGAATCAGAACTCCTGGGTTTTAGTGCCTGATGTGGGAAGAACGTAGAGGAGCTTGGGGGCTAGACTGAAGAGTTGCCTGTGGCCCATGGGCCATCGTTTACCCCCCCTCTGAGCTAAGCTCTCTAGGACACAGACTAAAGGCTTCTGTTCAGTGCACTGAACGGGGGCAGGTATCCAGCAGTCAGAACAACAAAAGCTGGGAATCAGAACTCCTGGGTTTTAGTGCCTGATGTGGGAAGAACGTAGGGGCGGATCTGCTGCTCGCCTGCTCTGTGCCCTTGGCGGAGTCACCCTGATCTCTCTTTCTCGTCAATAAAAGGGAGATAAGTTTCCTTCTTGGCAGGCATGTTGAGAAGATGGGGGAAGGGTTGAGAAGTGCCTGGTGTGGCTTAGCTGGAAGGAGGTAGAGCGACATCACGTATTATTGTGTATCCATGGGTACGTCGAGGGGAGAGTCTGGGGGTTGGCTTGCTCTTTGCTGGGCTTGCCCATGGGCCAGCAGACACCGTGTTAGCAGTAGGGATGTAAAATCCCATTTCATTAGTTAACCAGTTCAATGTTGTTTTACCAGTTATCTGATTAAATGGGGGAGACAGGGGGACCGTTCTGGCCCACTAGGCTGGAGCACACACACACATACATACCCCCGCCCACCATGGCCAGGCTGGAGTGGCCCCCACGCCTTAGGCAGGGGCTGCTCCAGCCCAGCTGCTTCCAACCCTGCACTGGGGCTGCCAGGTCCCAACCCTTGTGGGCTAGGAGGCAGCAACCTCACACTGGGCCAAAAGAGGCAGCGGGTGGGGGAGGGGGCTGCCAGCTCCCAGCCCGCATGGACTCACGAGCTGGGAGCTGGCACCCCTCTCCCCCACTCTATGCTGCCACTTCTGCCCCCACCCCTCCACCCTGCATGAGGCTGCAAACGCCCAGCCCATGCGGGCAGGGAGCCAGCAGCCCCATGAAGCTGGAGCAGCCCTCCATCCACAGCGGGCTGTGAGCAGGCGGCTGCACACAGATAATGGTTAACCATATACCCGATAAGCAACACCTATTGAGGGTGATACTTACTGGGTAGCCAGTTACCCATTCACTCCCCGAGTTAGCAGCGGAGGAAACCCACCTATCATCCCATCAATTGTCAGAGATGGGGCAATGTAACAATTCCTTAGACCTTGGATCCTGCCTGAAATGGTGTAAGCGTATCCAGAAAAAATCTAGCTCCCAGCTCAGTGCTTTGTGCTTCCAACCACTGCATCCCCCACATTTATTCCAGACCTCTGGGCACACAGTACTCCACTGTCAGTTTGTGTTAGTTTTGTTGAACGTGATTGTGCTTAGCAATGCTCAAAGTCCTGGTAATCGTCCATTTAGGGCTGATCTTGTTTCTGTTTGATATTCCTGGATCCCCTTCCGAGAGCAGGGATTAATTCCAGGAAAGCGCCTGCATCTCCAGCGATCGTTATTGCTTAAACATGAATCAACCAGTGCAACATTGTAGTCGCTGCTTAGCAAGGCATCAGCCTCGAGTGCCAGTTTAAACTATGGATGCATAGATGCAAATGGGGCTACCCCATCCCTCAAGTCGGGTGGGCTTGGGGGAAGAAAGATTCCAGGAAGGAGCTAACCTTATCCAAGTCCTGTAACTGTCAAGCTGGCAGGAGCAAAACAGGAACAGGATCAGCAACAGGGACACCCTGACGAGACCAGGCAGTTCTCTCCCATGTGCTGGCAGACTGAAGGAGGACTCACTTCAGTCTCATTCCACCTACAGAAACACTCAGACCTAAGAGGTGCGAGGCACAGGCCGTGAGTAAATTCCAGAAGGATCATGAAGAAACAGCTCGGTACCATACGCCCCCTGCAGATAGCAGACATGCCGACCCAGGTTCACGACAAGGTCTAAACTGACTGCATGAGCAAACCCCCATGTACAAGGTGATGGGTGATAACTAGGTGACATCAGGGGGTGGCAACCTAATACATCAGGAGTGACATGCAACTTGTCTGTACCTGTTTATAAAAATGTACCCCAAGGGAGTTGTCTTGGTCCGACCATGGGGGCAGTGGCGAAGCCCTTATCACTGACTAAGTTGTCCATTGTAACGAGCGTACATAGAGTCAGAGAACACTAGAACTAAAAGGGACCTTGAGAGGTCATCAAGTCCAGTCCCCTGCCTCACGGCAGGACCAAGCACCATCATCCCTGAGAGATGCCTATCTAACCTGCTCTTAAATTTCTCCAGGAGATTCCACAACCTCCCTGGGCAATTTATTCCAGTGTTTCACCACCCTGACAGTTGGGAAGTTCTTCCTAATGTCCAACCTAAACCTCCCTTGCTGCAATTTAAGCCCATTTGCTTCTTGTCCTGTCCTCAGAGGTCAAGAACGATTTTTCTCCCTCCTCCTCGTAACGTGTTAGCCTGACTGCTGACATCCAGTCTGGGGAAACTAGGACCGTGCTTCTTCTACACAGTAAACCTGGCCTGGTGCTTTTGATCCTTATCTGATTCTGTGGTTTTGGGGGCGCTCTCTCAGAGCCTGCTGTGCTAGCTACTTGTGCAGACCAACACGATTCACAGAGGGGCCAACTATGCAGCTGACCGGTCAGCATCACTGTCAGGGCAGGAGGCCCGTCCGGACACCCACACTAGGGATGCCTGGCTGCCACATACACAACCAACAAGCGAGCGTGGGTCCGAGCTAGGCCACGGCATGGCAAGAACACCAAGGCCCAGGTTTTTAGAACAGTGCAGCATCCAGCTTGTCCTGTTGTCCGGCTAGGGACCTTGATGGCAGCTTAGCTTTTCTGAAAATTTGCCTAAGAGACAGGCAGCGGCCCAAGATGGATCAATGGTTGGTTTTAATCCCTAATCGTTAGCCCTGGAGTTACTTCCCCCATGAGAACAAACGTTTCTTTAGGGATATTTCATAGCCCACCGTGCCTGACTCATGCTGGCTCAGGGCTTTGTGCTGGGGGTTTTTTAACCATTGCCTAGATAAAAGTTTACAAGCAGAAGTGGGATAGGCTTTGGCACTGGGCAGGCATTTGCGCTGGCCTATAGTCTACCAGTAGATGGTGCAAGAGGAGCATCAAATGCCCTGCTTCTCTCACAATCACTATAATTTGTTCCCTCTCTAGCTTGTACGTGTCTGGAGGACACACTGTCTTAAGGCATGTCTTCACTACCTACGGGATTGACAGGCCGCGATTGACCCAGTGAGGAGGTCAATTTGTCGCTAAGCGCTCTCCCCGGGACTCCACCAAAACAAGAAGAGGAGGCGGAGTCCACAGGAGAGCATCAGCTGTCAACTTACTCAGTGCATGCTACTGTGATACAGGCCATCGAGTGCCGGCAGTGCCCCTCCACCATGGATACTGGCCAAACCCAGCAGTCTGTACGGCCAAGGGCAAATGAACACAAATCAGATATGGTAAGTGGCAACACATAAACCTGGAAGGGAACATTTTAACCTGCCTGGGCGCTCGTCCATGGTAATTAATTTAAAAGCAGCCATTGTTCTGCAAAGTCATTTCACAAGCTAACTGCAGCGAGCGAGTGTGGAATTGACCTTCGTATGCAAATGTGACCCTGTTTCCCTGGGCTTGAACAAAGACATCAACTGGGTGTCGCATTATAAAGCCAACTTTCCATGCATTTAACACCTCATTTGCATCAAAGGCTAAGTACAGGGCACTGCCAGCCCACTCAATTAGCCTGATTAGCACTGGCCTTACTATCAACCAGTAATTTCCCCCCCTTCCTCTTCTGTTATACATTCCGGGTATTATTTCCAGTCCAGCTTCCAGCTCATCTGAGGAAGTGGGCGAAGGTGCCCTGGGACCGCTCGTTGTTTTTACACAGCTACGTTATTCATGTAGCTGAAGATGTGTAACTTAGCTTCACGACCTACAGTAGACAAGGGCTTAGAGACCGGCTGGCTGTGCCCTGCAAACCTCCCCTTAGCAGGAAGGGAAGGAAAACCCACCTGGTTATTTATTAAAAACAAATTTATTCGAATCCCTTACAAAAATAATGTAAACCCAATCGGCATCCAATCACCCACAAAGCCAACGCTCTGCCCTTCACGATGGCACACAGCAGGCAACACCACACAGGCAGGAGGAACGGTTTATGTTGCATACTTAAAAACCCACAGTGAATGTAAAACGGGTCCTACTGCGGGGCAGAATTCTGGGAGGGCATGAGGAGCGGATGCAAGAGTCCCCCGGGGGAAGGATCTGCCCCTGTCATTACTGGTGCTTCTCACGTGATCCTAGCTGGAGCAAATACGGGGGTGATGCACAAGATATCGGCGATCTCCCAGCCACAGGAGAGAGGGGTACACACCCTCACTCGGTCCTCCTCTTCAGGCTGCGCCAGCTTCCCCGGAAGCAGCTGGAGAGCTTCCCTGTAAGCAAGAAAAACAAACCAGCCTTTCTCGAGCCCGTTTGAAACCCAGCAGGGACGTCTGTCGGATGCGCCGCCGGACCCCAGACCCGGCTCTCCCAAGACAAGCTGGCTCAGGTCTAGACAGTCTTGGGATAGGTAGAGTGAAATCACAGCTGTATGGAAGTCAGTGGAAATTTGCCATTGGGCCAGGGTTTAACCCTAAACTTCCCGGGAGGCCCGCCGACGGCGGGGGGCAAATGGAGCAATTTAAGAGAGCCCAGGGCTCCTTGATTCAAAGACACTTTTGATATTTCCTGCGCAGGTTCTGGGGCTGGATTGCTGCCCCCGGCTCCTGCATGGGGCATATCAAAAGCATCTTGGAATCAAGAGCCGCTGCTGTGATTTTCCCTAGAGCAGGCAGGCTGGGTCCAGGGAAGGGAGAGGAGGGAAAGGACAGGGCTGTGGCTCATCCCAGCAGATGGGGCATCGGGCTGGCTAGCCAAGGGCATTTCTGGCAGGGCAAGGAGGGGGGTTGTGGCCCTGACTAAGGGAGGTGGGCGGGGGTCCCACTGATTTCTGCCCTTGGGTCATGGGGGCGGGTGCTAGGCAGGGGTAGGCTCTGCCTTCTCAAACCGCCAGCCTGGCCCTGCCCACACTCCGCCCCCAGATCCCCTCCCTT